CCTCTGGTTTCTCAGGAGTGCTAATTTAGATACTGGGGGCTGGGGGTAGCTGTGCTAAACTTGGTTCCAGTCATTGTCAGTAATGAGATTTCTACTTCTCTCTTTCCTCTTCATTTTCTGACTCCTGATAAATAAGGAGCAAATCTTTATACAGGGGATTCTGTCTTCCTAGCTACTGTCAAAACCCCTTCTCTTGGTAAATAATTTTCTTCTTTTCTTCTTCTTTTTATCTAGCAACAGTTTTAGAGATATTGTAGAGCAGCAGAAGCAGCTGCTCGCAAAAATAACCCTGATTAGACAGACATGTGAAACATGTTTTTCTACTTGGGTGATAAAAGAAAAAAGTGATTTGGAAGTTATTGTAATTCATTAATTTGAACTTTCATTATTTTTTGCTCAAGTATGCTGTATAGGCAGAGATAAAAAATTCATTATTTACTATGATGCTGTCAAGGAATTAGAAAATAATGCATTTATGTCTTCCTCTTTGGCATTTTTTTTTATAGAATGCTGAGCTAATCTAGGAAATTGTGGCACTTACCTTCAGACTGAATACCCATGATTGGGCAGAAGTTCACTAGTATCTGGAGTATTTAACAGAAAAAATAAGTTCTAGGAGGTTTAAACCACCTGACATACTTCAGAAACTGAGCAGGTTTCATTTTGAGTTGGATATTGTGGTAGCTGTTTAGTTTACTGGGAGGGATTATGCATGATGAATTTCATAGAAAAAAACAGTAGCTGTTAATTTGTATTGAGGTTTTAAACAATGACCTGTTCTATTTTCATCTTGGGTTGAGGTAAACAAATTACTGTTCAAGTATTCTTAAACACTACTTTTCGACTTGCAGGTGGATACAGGCATACAGATGGCAGATAACAGGTATGTTGGGCTGTTTTCCTGAAATTAAATGAAGGTGGTTAGAGCCAGCTGTATATCTGGTGTTCTGCTGGAGAGGTTTTTGTTGGTTTTTTTTTAACCTGTGAAGCATGGATTACCAGACATGGATAAGAATAAAATGCTCTAAAGAACTGAAGAGCCTCAGTGTTTCTTTAATCTGTGTAATTTAAGCGTGCAAAAGGCACCTTTAGTTTATGTAGTATTTTTTGAACATACAGTATTTCTATGGAACTTCTGCAGATCCACATGTGCTGCTGCTCCTCTGAGGCTTGCAGTGCTGGATAAGCTGGTCTGTCCTGTACCTGATAATACCCATTTGCATGTGTGATATCTCTTCTGGTTTTGTGTGCGAGTTAGGGTTAATTTCAGCAATATCCAGTGTGCATTTTGTGACCTCTAAACTGGCAGGGAGCACAGGGAATACTGGCTGGCTGTTGACTCATGCTGGGCCCTCTCCTTCTCCAGCACAGCAAGTGAGGTGGAAGACATTGCAGCAGGGAGATGGGGAGGCCAGGAATATCTCTTTTAAAATAGCAGTGAATGTTTTTTGATTACCAAAACAGCTTGTTAGAGAAGTTGGAAAGAGAGCTTTTATCTCTTGTTCATCTTCCTTTCATACCTGCATCCTTTCTCATGTTTTTCATCGTCACTTACACTAAAAGTGTCTCATATTTTCATCTGTGAGTAATAACATTTTCCTGTGCAGAGTGAATGGCCACGTGATTCACAGACTGAATCACACACATGAATGGCCAGCCGTTCACTTAATGAGATTAATTTCGTCATCAAAGCTTTTTGGTTTGGGCTTGTTATGTTTTGTTTTGAGATTGGTTTGTTGCTTTTTAGTTTTCACAAGCTTGAAGACATAAATATGTCTTTTATTAGCATACTTGTCTATAAAGCATGTCTGTAGTAAACCAAAGTTCTCAAATGCTGACATTTGTGTAATGTGGTGCTATTTTGATATGTTACTCTTTGAATTGTTTTAGTAAAACAGAAGATACTGCTTCAGATTCTCTGGAGGCTGCTAAAAATGCAACCAACAAAAAAGGTATGAAATACATAGTAGTAGGTGATGTTACAGAAGTGTAACAAGCCTTTCCAGTCAAAACTGAAGATGTGTTCACAGCTGAAAGCAAAACAATGGTTTTTAGACTAACTGTTCACTTTCTGATGTTTTCCATGTTTAATGCAGGCAAAAGCAGAGTGAAGGCTGTATTTTTGTGTGTTGTGACTATGATGCTTAACCATTGCCTGAAATGACCCTCTAGACCTTTGCAATAAGGTCTGTAAAGACTGGCCTGTAACAACGCATATTCTTCGTCAGCATAATTATAGAATGAACAGTTCTGTTTGTATGCTAGTTTTTTACTGTCTTGTTTCTCAAGAGTGTATCTTCAGAATGTGCCTTGGAAGTTTTTATTCTCCATTACCAAGGCCTACAGATAACTGCTGTGTAGTGTTTTTCAAATTAATACTTCTGTATGCAGAAAAGCTACAGTTTGATTATTTCTCTAAACACTAAAATTTGTAAGTTACAGTGAAATACTTTTTGTTTATGGGGTCACTGAATTTCTTCAGGTCTCCCTCATTACTTTTTTTCTTTTTTTAAGAAATCCTTGGTGACTGGCAATTGGAAGTCATGTGAGAACTGGTAGACACCATTTAATAGTTTTTGAAGTCAAGTTGCATTGAGAAAAAACAAGTACATCCCAAATAAATAAGGAAAACAAAGCAACACACAAACACAAGCATATCACAGCTTCACCATATTAGTGTGTGCTGTGCAATTTTTTGGGGTTTTGATGTCTGAGGAAAAGAGCACTAAGAAAGAATGGAAATATGTGAAAAGCAAAAGTCTTCACACCATGACATTGTGCATAGTTACTAGTAAGGGTTTTTAACAGAAGCAGAAGCATTTTAGATCTGATCTCCTGTAAAAGTAGTCTTCTGGGAAGTGTTGTCATGGCTGAGGAATCTTACAGATTGTAAAATCATCTTGAGGTAAAAGATTAGTAGTTGTCAAGGTCACAGTGCTATGCTGTTTATTGTACAGTACACAGAGTTGGAAAGGATTTTTTAGGAGTCACACAGCAAAACAGATGTCTTGGAAGTGTAATTGAGTGGTTCTCCTCCTGAAATTTGTGTGTGACTTTTAAGGTACAGCTAATACGGAAGGATAGCGAAACTTCTGTTTTGTACTTTCTTGCATGAAGGGAAAACAGGAAATTTGCCTATGTTGTCAATGTAGTACTTGCTTGTAAAAGCAACTGATAGATTTGCAAAGAGAAGAGTGTTTTCTCTATCATTATCCGTCTTTATATTCCTGAAATCTGGTCCTGAAGTAATTGTTTGTGTTAGTATGAAAATACTCACTATTTTCACACCTCAAATAACAGTTGTGTTATTTGAGGTGTGAAAATATTAAGTATTCTTACTGTTACTGCTGTAAGACACAGTATGACAAAAGCCCTATAAAGCTATGGAAAAATTTTTAAAAGGGGTTTTCTGTCTTCATAGAAAAGCTGGCAGACCAAGTGATGCAAAATCCACAGGTCCTGGCAGCTCTTCAGGAACGTCTTGACAACACATCACTTACTCCTTCAAGTTACATTGAAACGTAAGTACTGAGCATGATAAAATTCTTGAAAAACTGAAGGCATAATAGAATATTATTACTGTGCAATTAAGGTAGAAAATTAGAATAAATTATTCACTAAGAAAAATTATTTACTTAACCTGTGATTCATAGTGTCTTACTTCTGGGAGAAGAGTAGCGTGTTACCTCATGCAAATTGCAAACAACAGTTTGTCCTGTTGAATATTTACCGTGGTCATTTATTGTTTTGGTTAGGAATAACTCTCCTCCCCTCCTTTGCTTCCTCTGTGACCCTTATTCTGACAGTGTGTGTGCTACATTGACTGATGATTTCTGTAAGATTGCTGTCCTGCATGTAATGGAAAGTTCAGGACCTGTATATCCCTAGTTTGAAGCTTAGTTTTATATTGACTGTAAAGTAGATTTAAATGCTGCCTTTAGTAAATACTTATGCTTTTATTTCTTGACTGAGAATAGCTGGTTGTAGACCTCTTTTTAGAAAAAACGTAAGTTCTATAAAGAGATCTTTGTACATGACTATGTCTAAATGTTTAATAATTTAAGGTGCACATGGGCAGTGTGTGCTTTATGAGTATGGCCCCTGAATCAAAGCTTTCTCCTGTAGAGTGCACAGTTCCTAATTTTCATAGATGGATCAACACAAATCTAGTCTCAAAGTTTAGGTGTAAACAAAGGTATTAATTTCAGATCTCTGAACTACACGGGGAGGGTAGTGGCCCCAGGGAATGGAACAGAAGATAACATCTTTGAGAACAACTTGGGTAGGAGAGGATTCTTTCAACTTTTTGAAATAGGTTTTGGAGAAACATGTATGTTTGGCATAAGCCTTTTATTTAAAAATTGCATGTAGTTATAAGCAACCTATTTCTCAGTATAATGTGAAATAAGGCTGAGTCAACTAACTTGTAACCTTAAATAATTTTGATTTTTAGTTTTCCAAAAGCAGTGATAAGACGAATTGATGCCTTGAAAAAGCTCCAGGTGAAATGTGCTCATATAGAAGCTAAATTCTATGAAGAAGTACATGACTTAGAGAGAAAATATGCAGCACTCTATCAACCTCTGTTTGATAAGGTAGGAAAATTATGTATATAATTTTTATTTCTTTGTTCCTCTCAGTTCTGGTTACGTATATATCATTTTACATCTTCAATTACATTTTTGGTTTTTTTTAACACAGAGAAGAGAGTTTATTAATGGGGAAGCTGAACCCACAGATGCAGAAGCAGAATGGCACAGTGAAAATGAGGATGAAGAAAAACTGGCTGTGAGTATAAGCTGGGTCATCTACTATGGATATATTGTATTGTCAGAGTTAAAATTCTCGTTCTTGCCATTGAAAGGAAAGTGTCAGTGATGTGTTCTTGGGATGTTATGTCACAATGTCACTGTTAACAATGTCACTGTTATGGTCAGTGAAAGCTTCTACACCATTAGTTTAGCCTTTTTTCAAATTTGTGACTTGGGGGAATTGAGTGGTTGCCTTTGTTGGCACTGTTCGTAACCTGTTAACAGCACCTTCCTGCTAATGGGTTCCATTCCAGTGCTACATGAAACCCTAAGATAATAAAGGACTGGTTGGTTCTCTGCCTGTCTCCGTTATTTTGGGTGACATCATTAGCTTTTATTTTCATAAATACAGGTGAGACACTTGTCATACAGTCATAAACCAGAATTGAGCTAATAAAATGTCTGCTTGGCTGGTGGATTTGTACTTGTCTATTGAGCATGAGCTTTCGAGATTTAGGAGACATAATATAGTCTGTGGGCTGCCTGTTACTTTCCCAGCATCATTTCTGGAGATGTGTGCTCAGGCTTTGTCTCAGAAAAGCAACCTACTTAGAAAATTCTGTTTGCCATTGTGTCAGGTTTTCTTTGCATTTTTTCCTTAGCCTGATTTCTTCTAGGGTTTTTTTGATGCTGTTCTGTATTCAAAGTGAATTGTTCTCTTTGTTTATACTGATCTCCTGAGACTTAGCGTGACACAATGCTTCATGTGCATGAGCAAAAAACGTTCCTTAGGCTCTGTGTATGTGCAGTATTGACAGGCCATATTCCACACAATAAAATCAGAAACGTGTCTAGATGGGAAATAAATTGCAGCTTTGTATTCTTGGCTCATCATAACCCAAGCAACTGCCAGAAACAGCTTAAATATCTGCTGCTATCTAGTGGTGTAAAAGGAATGGTGCAGCTATTTCAGACTGAACTTCAGGGTTGTTTAGGATTGAGAGATGACTCCCTTCTTTTTTTTTGTAACACTTGCCATCAATTATGTGGCAGGAATCTTGTTTCCCAAAACAGTAATAATTAGACACAGCGTAATCATTAAAAATACCTGTAAAAACAGCTTTGCAAGTATTCTGCAAAATGGGGAATCTAAAATAGCATTTCAGAGTGCAAAGTTAAATCTTAAATTTTTATATGAAATGCTGTAGGGGCTTATGGAGCTACAGAAATAAGACTAATAGAAAAGCATTTATATATTTTTTTGTTTCTAGAAAGATAGAAAGTGTTTTAATTATTTCTGTTTGTCAAATCAGTGAAGTAGACACTTGGTCTATTTAGTCTTCATATAGAAGAATTTCGGAGGAGTTGAAAGTAAATCTGAATTGTGTATATGTTCAGTTGTGTAAATAAGCCTTGTATCTCTTAACTTCATTTGCAAAGGAATAAAAAAAGTAAATTTTAAATGTTCCTTAAATAGAGCTTCAGAGATGGCAATTGTTTTGTAATTCTGTCTCTGTTTATTAAGTATACTAAGAAGTCACAGTTTAATTTCTCGGTTGTTTCTGTATTTCTTTCCCAGGGAGACCTGAAAAATGCAGTGGTAATAGATGAAAAAGCAGAAGAGACAAATGTCAAAGGAATTCCAGACTTCTGGTTTACTATCTTTAGGAATGTAGATATGCTAAGTGAATTAGTACAAGTAAGTCTTTACTCTGAAATGAACAACTTCTGTTGTGTTGAACGAGTTGCTGCATTTCCTATTAATAGTCAATCCTTGTGGAGTGTGAGTCAATCCTTTGGTGTGAGACACCAAATCTTTTGAGTCTTTGGAATCCCTGAAGATGCTTGAAATGATGGACAAGCATTTTTAGTTTAATCCATAAAGGATTAGTTTTGCAAGGTTATAAGAATATCAGTGGATTGTTTGAATTCATGTTAAATAGCTTAGGTAGTTATGCCTGCACTTGTATTAGTGGCTTTTAATGCTGTTAAAGAAGAATTCCCTGGAGTGTGTCTTCCTCTGAATCTCACTGGTAATAAATACCATGAATGAAGTTACTGTATCTTCAGTAATACATCCTAGCAGCTTTGTTTACTGAAGATAAGCCTTAAAATGACAGAGAGTTTGGCACACAAAATTTGCAACTATGATTAAGAAATTTAGATCCAGATCTTTACTTTACCTGAAATTGTTGAATTAGTTACAAGGTTTGGTTCTTTCTTAAGGAGAGACTGCTTTTCTAAATATTGCCTGCTGAATTGAATTTTACTTTTTTCTGCTTAGGAATATGATGAACCAATCTTGAAACATCTGCAGGATATTAAAGTTAAGTTTTCTGAACCAGGACAGCCTATGGTGAGTTTTCTCTGCTTGTTTCTCATGAAGATTGTAGTAATGAAGTGAGTAGCATTCCAAAAAATTAATTCAGCTGTCTTTGGTTGTTGTTGGTGGGGGAGGTTTTTCTAAGCTATTATTTTCATGCTTTGCCTATGAAAGATTTATCTTAAGCTTTCCTGACTCTTTGCTCTCTCATTCTTAGCCTGCACAGCTTTGACATTACTGTAGTTTCTAGATTAAAATTCTGGCTCAGATCTATCTGTTTTTTTGCTTTCTTTTTCTTTTGTGAATTCAGATGTAGCTGCTCTTAGTGATACAATTGCATGGCTGCTTTTAATTTGAAAATGAATTGTGGGGAAAAATCTGGGTATCAAATAGTGTATCAAAAGAGATATGACTTGGTAATACTAATCAAAGACAATGATTATAGATACTGTGCCTGTTGAAAAAAATGGAAAATATATTAGATAGTGTTTTTAAATTGTACCTTATAAGTATTTTTTAAAGTACTACATCTTTTTTAAGTTTTGGAAATTTTTTCTTGTTTAAGTTTGATATACAGAGACAGATACTGTTGCTCTGCTGCTTATTCAATTTATGCAGACTATGCTTATTCCTTGAACTCCCTTTGAAGAGGAGGCAGGGAGAAGGATGGAATTTGAGTCTATACATACTTCATTCAAATTTTGTCATCCTGGCTTTTTTCTTATGCTTGGTATTTTTTGTTTTGCCTTATGGAGCAATGGTCTTCTGATAATGCCAGAAATAAATGCAAGACAACCATCATTGAAGATTCACATAAGAAAGATGGGAGGACTTTCTCAGAATAGCTTTTAATGGTTAAGAGCAAGTAGTTTTGGGGTTCTTTTGGGTTTTATTTTTTATTCCTTATTGTCTTTATTCTGCTGGTATTGAAACACTCAGGCTGATAATTGGCAAGAAAGTAGTATGGCAGAGAAAAATTGAGAATTTAGTTTCTAAAGATTGCAAAGCTTAGGGAGAGGATATGAGTTTTATGAAGAAAATGAATTGTATAAGCATAAAATAAGATATTCTAAGAAGTTGGCTGTTTGTCTTGAAGCATATCCATTCGGTGGCATTTGAATGAGATGGGAATAGGTTTTGTCTTGCCTACATAATTTTTGTGTTGTCATTCAGCTTTGTTTTTTAGTACCTTAAGCTGGAGAACTCTTTAAACACTGGATTTATTTGGTCTTGCACTGTTCGTAACCTTTTGACAGCATTTTTCTGCAAATAGGTTCCATTCCAGTGCTACATTAAATCCAATAATGGAAGGCTGACAAACTCCATGTCCCTTCTGTATTTGGAGACAAAGGATGTGTCTAACTGCTTGAGTGAAACCTGTTCAGCATCTGTGTGTGACTGTCTTTCAGCACAATCTGCAATTCTTTGTTGAATATCGGTGCAGCAGTGGTAGCTTTGTGAAAGTCACATAATCAGTGTGTCATAGATACATTACTTCTGCTGGGGATTAGGTTTTGCTGCTAAAGAAATACATGATAATCAGGAATTTTCTGATTTACTGTTGACCCAAAACAATTAATTGTAGTTATGGCACTCCAAAAGTGGATTTACCTGATTGCAATTTAAGTGCTTCCAAGTCCTGTTTGTTATGGCCTGCACATAGAAACTTTTATCTTCATGAAGCAATAGTGACTCCATTGCTATTTACTTTTACTTATTTATAACCATATGGATAAACTTATATATATTATAATTATAATTTCTATTTACATATTTATTTGTACATCAGGATCCTTAGCATATTCAGACCTCGATGATGCATTTAGGTATAACTTGGGTAGCTTAAAAAAAAAGGCAGGTTTCTTTCTTTTTTTTTTTTTTTAATTTCATGAGCACTTACTTGATAAAAAAAAAACCAGATGTCCAAATGAAGAGTATTGGAAAGGTTATTACAACACTTCAAATAGTATGTGGAGCTTGGAGCTTCTTGTCTCCTAATGAGCAGGTATACACTGAGATGCTGAAATGCATTGTGTGCAGATATTTTTGTCTTGCTAGCCCTGCGTGCTAAGTAGTGCCACTGGTTGGTTATTTATAGCCCCAGTGATGGTTTATGGGATTATTTGGGTACGAGTGTTCGTCACTGCTAGTGGATAAGCTAAGTTTGTAACTCTTCCCCTGAGCATGTTTGCCAGAGAGAGATTAGCCTTAGCTGAAGACAGCCTCCAAACCATTGCAGCTGTCTGGAATTGCTTTAAAGGGAAGTAGAGCTGAAATAGCCAATGTGAAATCAACACAGATATTCCAGTGTACTGCTGGGTCCCAGTGGCTTCCTGTCCTTAAACAGAGAGCACGGGGGTTGGGAAGGCTGCTGTTGCCATTGGTTTCTGTCACTCCCTGACCACTCACTTAGCAGGTGTGAGTCATGTGAGGGTCTTAGGAAGATTAGGGGCCTTTGGGAGACGAGTGAGGGATAAACATCTATGATGAGCAGGCTTTTGTCCTGAGTTATTTATCTTGTCCATGCATGAATAGCCTTGTGAAAAAGGATGGCAAGGCAAACTTGGTGATAAGAGTTTTCCGGCCTGAGTCTGAAGAATGCCTGGGGAAGTATATTCCGGGCCAGTCTTTTGGCAGTTATGTAATTGTTTTGTATGCAGATTAGGGCTAATTTGTAATGCATATTACTGGTAGAATAAATCAGTTATTTAAGGTAACTGTTGCACATGCCATGGCTGGGCAGTGCTGTTGGAAGATTTGGCTTTCAGTCTTTTTGTTGTGCTGAACTGACTTGCAGACTTTTTCCCCCCTTTAAGTCACTAAATAAGTACTGCCAAAACCCTTTATTCTTTGTTTTCCCTTTCCAAGACAGCTTGAGGTTTAGTTTTAGTGTACTTTAAAACACTCATAGTTGATCCTGAGTACAAAGTGAGCATTGTGCAGGCAGTTTAGAAACCTTTACAGATCTGAAATTTGATGCATCATGGATGCTGTGGT